GTGTTTATTCAAAAGTAAATACGTAAAACTCTCTCCGCCGGGATATGATAGCTTAGGGAAAAATTCCGAGTGATGCCAAATCAGTCTGGTTTCGATCCTGACTTGAGGCAATCGGATGTCTAACTACACTAATGAGCTGTGATACAGCGAAACAGTCTGTCTATGGATGGCAACATATATATATATATATATATATATATATATATATATATATATATATATATATATCAAAGTATATAATTGGTATATACGGAATGAATTCCAATAACCAACATACTTAAGTTATAATTTTTTATAAAATATATATATATATATATATATATATATATATATAGGGATATTAAAAGGAGGAGACGCATAAGTATGCGTTGAGACAAGACTGAAATTGTGTAGCGATTTTTACATGTTGTTTTAATATCCTAAAATTAACAATATTGCTCTACTCTGTACTGACCCCTCTTTTAAGTTACATGTATGAACGGTGAAATTTTACTCTATTCGTTCTCATCTTACCTGGATATATATATATATATATATACTTTAAAAATCAGGAGGTCAGTTAAAGATCTATCATCATTTGTTGATCTATCATCGCCTGATGAGGGATAATTTTTAAAGTTCCGAAACATCGAAATTTTTGTGAAGTGATGTAAAATATTATAATAGAAATATATATATATATATATATATATATATATATATATATATTATACACTGTTATATTACAACATATAAGTTATTACTACAAGATTGTACCATTTTGTTTCGACATTTAATAAACGTCTCGTGAGGTAGTTAACAATGATGGTAATAAACTATTTTATTTAAATTTCAATTTCTGAAACATCATTTCATTTTCCGTTTTTGAAAAATTTTATGTACAAGATAAAAAAGATTTTTATGAAGAAAAAAAGGAAAGAAATCAATAAAAGGAAAAGGGAGAGGGAAGAAAAGAAAGGCAAAAGAAAGCATAAGAAATTTAACCTACTACCAAGAGAATAGAAATAAAAGAGAGGTAAAAGAAAGAGAGGAGTATATTCAAAATTGCACAGATACAAAGGAAAAGGAAAGTTAAGAAAATAATATATGAGAAGATGTTGATACGAATTAAGCCAATGAAGTTATGCTGAAAAAGAGAATTCAAATTTGAACGGAAATGAAACGCAAACACATAGTAACACAAAAGCTACAATGTCGCGTTCCATATTTTATGGCAATTTTAAAATGAAATCAAATATTCAAACAAAATTATCCATAGAACGTAAATAAAGGGCACTTTAAAAAGCAATACAATAAAACCAACGTTACATTATAAATTATAATACAAAATAAATTTTAAACTTTTATACTTTTACATTAAAATCTATTATCAATACAGCAAGAGAAATAATAATAACTAGCAGCATGACCCGGCGTTGCCCGTGCTTGAATCAAAAATCGTACGACTCATACAGCAATCGCTATCACTTGACTTAAAATATTTTTGCCCTTCCTTGCCGTTAAAGGAGTGCCCTTTTCCGTGCTGATGTTGCTACATGCCTTACTTCTTGCCTATCTCACATTGCGAATTTTTTCTAAGCTCTGTACTAAACATTAAATCTGTTACGAAAAAAAGAACTAAACAAAATGAACACAAAACGATCAGCTTTAAAAAAGGACTCGTAACTGGAAAAACCGAATGAAAAAAGAATGTTAACAACAAATACTTTTTCACACCCAACCCAGTTCTGTGGAATCAGAATCAACGTTGATTTTAAGCAAGCGAATGAGTCAATTGGAGTAAAGTGCCATGCAGATTTAAATTTTTCCAATTTATGACGAATGCAGCTATCGATTTTTTTTTTTACATGCTAGCATGCTAGTTAACATTCGTGTCAGTCAGCTGTTGGCTCTCGCGCTGGCCAATAGAATCTTCCTGCCTATTCGTGGCAGCCAGCTATAGGCTCTCATTATGGCCAGTAGAAAAGCCCCAGGGTTATGGCATTACGGGTCGATTATATAACCTAATACAATCATTTCTTGTCAAACCGTGAATTGAAGGTCGTTCTCAACGGATTCTGCTCCAGTTCCTATCCCACGAACGCAGGTGTTCCTCAAGGCTCCATCCTAGGCCCAACTCTATTCCTTATCTACATAAATGACATTCCTGACGCCGTAACTTCCCAAGTCGGCATCTACGCGGATGACACCACAATTTATTCCTGCCTCAAAAACAAATCTAGTCTCGCTGACAAAACTCACCTTGCCGTGCGTCTCGAAAAGGACCTCCAATCGATTGTGAACTGGGGCAAGAATAGGCTGGTCAACTTCAACGCTTCGAAGACAAAATTGCTCTCTATTAATCACCACAGAGAGCCTTCCCTTCCCTCCATTAGAATGTCTGACACTCAACTTCTCGAGAGCAACTCTCTGCGGCTTCTCGGTCTCACGTTGACTGCTGACCTGAGATGGAATAAATACATCGAGTCAATTGCCTCGTCCACTGCAAGGAAAGTTGGCTCCCTGAGCCGCGCTAGGAAGTTTTTCTCCCCTGAGTCGATCCTCCAGATATACAAATCCACAATTTGCCCTTGCATGGAGTATTGCTGCCATATATGGTCTGGCGCCCCTTCTGTTAGCCTCGGGGTTCTTGATAGGCTCCAGAAGCGGATATGCAATATGGTTGGCCCTGCCCTGGCGTCTCGTCTACAGTTACTTTCTCACAGACGCGCCGTCGCCTCCCTCTGTCTGTTCTACAAATACTTTCATGGAAATTTCTCCGAGGAGCTGCATTCGCTGGTTCCCAGACGTCATGAGTTCCAGCGCCCTACGAGGCTGGCATCCCGCTATCACCCCTTCCCTGTCGAAACTCCTAAATGTAGCCGTCTCTTCTACTCTAATAGCTTCATGTCTCGCACCTCTCGCCTGTGGAACTTCCTTCCCATATCCTGTTTCCCTGTGAGCTATAATCTCCAGCTATTCAAGTGTAATGTCCATCGACATCTCCGGTTGCCTTAATCTATCTACTACCCTCATCCTTTCTTCTATCACTCCTATCTGATCTTGCTATTTTCTGTAACCCCTTGCGTCCTAGTGGCTTCCCGCCTTGCTTGGGGTGAAATGCTTCAAATATATATATATATATATATTTTGGCCGAAACGGAGGACGAATATTTTCTATGAAAATTTCTCGGACATTCAGGCCGGTAAATGTTATTAATACTATTTATTATAAAACAGAGCATTTACTTAAATATTTGTATCTATAAAAAGAATGTAGAAACATAAAAATGTCTGAAAATAATTGTCTTTGAAAATAATTGAATAAATTACTTTATGTCCATTTTACGAATATTTTTCCGTACATTAAAATATATATATATATATATAATTGAATTTAAACACGCACACACGCACACACACACGCACACACATACACATATATGCACACACACACACACACACACACACACATATACCGGGTGTAACAGCAAAATTGTCCAAATCGTGTAACAGCTAAAAAATGGCCAATTGTTAGATTAAGCTGTGAACCGTTTTATCTTAGAAATGATCAAAGATATCTTACTGGAATCCGAGGTTTTTATAACACTATTGGAATCTCTTTGAGCCATAAGAATTTATAATTACTCTCCAAGCTTAACATAAGAATCATGATGAAATCAATCACAAACGAAAATTACATGTTCATTATTAATTAAACATAGCTAAGGATCAGAAGCTCGTGGAGGATTAAAATAAAGCTCATATATATTTATATATATATATATTATTTCAGGATCAATTTCCAACTTATTCAAAATGATCTTCGCCCTCTCTAACCTTCTAACTTTCTATCCTGGAGTAACAAGTTGCCTCACAGGTTTCACGTACGATTTCATTTTCAAGTCTTTTTCATTGCTCTTTGGACTGTCATAGATGAAACTCCTCTCTCACATGCCAAACGTCTTATGGATTGAGTTGGATCTTTTCTAATTCATTTCTTTTGAAGTGATGATCCCTCTTCCTGTTGTGACCTCCTGATCCAGTTTTCCTTTTTACTGTCCCTCTTTTTAAACGTATTCACTGTTCTCTTGGTTGTTCTTAAATGGACTTTGAAATGAAAGCCAGATTATGAATGTTGGTACTGACGGCCTGAATGACAATTTTTTCTCTCACCATTGCTCGGTTGTGAAAACAGTGGGGCTGACACAAAATTTTAACGTGGTCTCTTTTTATCTGAATAACTCTTACGAAAAATTGTGTCAGAATAGCAAAACATCTATTCTGAAAACCAGAGCAAAAGAAACTCAATTAGTTTAGTGTATTTTTAGATATTAAGCATTTTGTGGGATGGATAATTGTGCTGTTACACAATTTGGATAAGTTTGTTTTTACACCCGGTATATATATATATATATATATATATATATATATATATATATATATATATATATATATATATAAAATAGGATGATAAACATATGTATAGGGAGAACCACTTATATACTCGTGTGCAAACCACCGAATGTTATATATATATATATATATATATATATATATATATATATATATATATATATGAAAGGTTGTGTTTATCTATTCGAATACGCGAATATAATACATATCAAAAATATATAAAGGAGGTATTTGTTTAGAAATTATCCTTAAACTTATTTGAAGTTAGTGTGAACGACGCATTTCCGCTGATAATTACTTTCTCCCTCAAAGACTTCGGTCCGCACTTCCCTATCGAGGTCGAACGTGAGCATTTTCCATAAAAATAATCAACTTTATGCATTGTTTACTTTAGATAAAATCTCCATATTTCATCACAAATTGCTGATCGGCGCCAGTTTTGTTAGAAATCTTTAAGCGTTTTGCGAAGAATTTCAACGTGCATTTGTTTTGCATCCGCTCGTGTCTCAGTATTTAGGGTTTGTACGTCCATATCGAATTGAAGGTAGCAATAAAGCAAAAAAAAAAACACACACAACGAAAGTCGGAATGCAGGTAAGCAAAAGCTAGAAATAATGAAAAAAGGCAAGAAAGAAAGAAAGAAAGTATGAGGGTGAAACAGAAAGAAAGAAAGAAAGAAAGAAAGAAAGAAAATGAAAGAAAGTAAGAAAGAAAAAAGGAGAGGTGGAACAAAGTAAAAGAAAGAAAGAAAGAAAGAAAGAAAGAAAGAAAGAAAGAAAAAGATTTAAGAAACCAAAAGAAAGGGAAAAAAAAAGAAATAAAGAAAAATATAAACAAAAAGGTGGGATCCAAGAAAGAAAGAAAAAAGAAATGAATGAAAAAAGGAAGGACGAAAAGAAAAAAGAAAGAAAGAAAATGAAAGAAAGAAAGAAAAATGAAAAGAAAGAAAAGAAAAAGGATGAATGAATGAAAGAAAGAAAGAAAGAAAGAAAGAAAGAAAGAAAGAAAGAAAAAGATTTAAGAAAGCAAAAGAAAGGGAAAAAAAAGAAATAAAGAAAAATATAAACAAAAAGGTGGGATCCAAGAAAGAAAGAAAGAAAGAAAGAAAGAATGAATGAGAAGGAAGGAAGGGAGGAAGAAAATGCAGGGAAGAAAGAAAGAAAGAAAGAAAGAATGAATGAGAAGGAAGGAAGGGAGGAAGAAAATGCAGGGAAGAAAGAAAGAAAGAAAAAAGAAAGAAAGAAAGAAAGAAAGAAGAGATTTAAAAACGGTAATGAAACGAAATAAGAAAGAATGAAAGAAAAATGATGGGTGAAGCAAAGTAAAAGAAATAAATAAAAATACAAACAAAAAGGAGAGCTGCAAGTAAGAAAGAAAAAAAGAAAGAAAGAAAGAAAGAAAGAAAGAAAGAAAGAAAGAAAGGAAGGGAGGGTTTTGTGAGAAGAGAAGAAAGGGGGGAGAGAATTAAACTCTCGTGTTGTGGTTCATTTGAAAGTAACATACGTGTCAGTGGAAAAACCGTTGATCGCATTTTCTGCTCAGATGGACGAACAGTTGCCTCTGCCGATATGCCTCGCTACAGTTACACCCAAAAAAATCGCACTACCTCCCTATCTATTCCAACACACACTTGCGTGCGCACACACACACACATATAAGGTTAATTGACTGATATAATGAAAAAGTCTTCTGTAATGCGTTTCGTCCTTGGAAAGTACTTCTTCAGACCAAATAATGATTTCATTTATGGAATCCTACATATGCAGCGGGCAGGAAAAGAAAATATAAACAAACTTCAGTTATCTATATATAAAATTCTGTGACTTCCGTCTGTCCGTCCGCCCGTCACACGTTTAGAGACGTTAACCGATCAAAGCAAATTTTGGGGAGAAATACAAACAGGTAAGGCGGGGGACTACAAAATACAGTTGGTTTTACTAGAGTGTGTAGCATAGTACAATAAATTTTCATTCATTTTTTGGGAAAAATTAAAAGTTTTATTATTTAACATATTATTTAACATATAAAATACTCTCACTATTTTAAAAACAATTTAATGATTAAAATAACAAATACTTATTTAATAAAAATGCAACATTGTTTTGCATATCTTTTCTTTAAGTTTTATATATACAAGAATCCAGTTTCCAGTTCACCCTGCGTTTGCGAGAATTATAAACAAATCACAAGGTCAAACGGTTCAAAAAGTTGGAATTTAGCTCCAGAAAGAAATATTTACTCATAACTAGTTGTATGTTGCATGCTCAAGAGTAAGAAATCCTAAGAATTTATTCTTCGCTGTTTAAAAGGAAAATAATAAATTTTCTTAAAAGATATTGTTTACCATGAAGTCCTATAAAATTAAATTAATTAAAAAAAATCATTAAACCGCGAAGAAGCGTTTTTGTTAAAGTATTTTCCTAAAGAAATTAACTTATTCAAATTTCATCGATTGGTGTGCGAAATCGAACGAAACGTAGAGTTTGTAAATCACGACAAAAAATGTTAGCGATGACTTCAACAATACTAAATAAAGGTGTGGATTTCAACACGCATTAGTTCTAGCAATTAAAAATCGATAGAAGCGCAGAAAATGCAGGTTTAACAGCAAATTTCAATTTCTCTCGTCCAATGTGTCTAGATGTATTAAAAAGAAAGCAAAAGAGAGATGGAAGATTTCAAATATTTTATTCTTCTTTTCAAAAATAATTTTACAGGCGCTAACGAAAAAGACATTCTTCTAGTGAATTTTTTAAAATGAAACATATATTAAAACATTTTTGACAGTCTACAAATTTATACAAAATACAATATATGCCTTTCACAAATGTTCTTTTGTGTTCCTCTGTTAGAAAACAACAGTTCACGAGAAAAAAATTCCTTAATAGAAGAATTATATTTGGCTTTCTTTTAGAACAACAGTTTATGTAAATCGTTTTTTTTAAATAGCAAAAGAACTTTACATCCATCGAACAGTTCACAAATTCGAAAGGTCGAAGATCAAAAGGGTGAGAAAGGAAGACATATTTCAGACGATGATGGTTTCTGTGCACTTTAGACAAAAATATTCTGATTTTAGCAACATTTGTAAATATGAGATAAGATCTCATAGGCTTAGAAAAGACATTCGAATATGAGATAAGATCTCATAGGTTAAAGAAAAGAAACTCGAAACAGTTTTTTTTTATTTATATTCCGACATTATTTCTTATTACTATAAACGTTCTATTTAGTGGTTACACGTGTTTGGGTAAACGTTATCACTTTTTAAATAGCGTAATTAACTTCTACCGGCCTGGGCATTCGTCTATCTTAATAAAGAAAATATGCCTTTGGGCAGTGTTCGTGAAAAGAGCGATTGAACCGAGTTTTGCTGTGATGTCCTTCGTGGTTAAATAGTTTAAATTACCCCTGACCCGAAGTTAGTTTCCCCAATAACAGTAAGCATTCACATGATCTTATGCTTGTATCAAATGTCAAGACGTAGACGATCATGGCTCTCCACATATTCCTTGTATTTATTATCTGTAACTTGAAAGAAGAAATTGAAAGTATTTCTCATTGTCTTATCTATGGTTTCTTTTTGTTAGACTGTTTGCTGCTCAAAGCTAGAGAATCAAGTTTACTTTGACATTTAACCCATGTGTATAACTGGCCATTCGTATTCGAGGATACCTGTGTACTAGGGCGGCTAGCCAATCCCTGTTGCAGACGCTTGCTCAGGTGTATTTGTGTTTATTCAACACCAACAGAGCCTACCTGTGGTTTATACTGCAACTATGCTGAACAGATCTTAATTACAGTTCCTGGGAAAGAGCGTGTTATCTAGCGTGATCAACACTTTGAACAAAGCCAGCACTCTCAAGCCCTCGGCCACGATGACTTGTGACTTCGTGCTAGCACAGCTATCGACGGCCCCCAAGTTTTCCGTCTATCAAATTTCACTCACAAGGCTTGGTTCAACCAGTGATATGGTTTTTAGGCACTTTCCAAAGGTGCCGTACACTGAAATTGACCCCGCCAGTCCGATAACATCAGGAAGTCTCCGTCCTGACAAATCGACTATGGTGAGATTCGAACCCGGGTCTCATTGTCAGAATGCGAACATTCTAACCACTCGGCCCATAAGTAGAGGTGAGATAAAGAACGGATTCAGGCCTTTCGCAAATCGTAAGGTAAGCTAAAAATAAACTTTCGACGTGGGAGCTGATTACTTCTAATTGTGTTCTAAGCTTTAAATGAAGGTTAGCAAATTATTAAATTGTCATTGATTCAACAAGTTCTTAGATTCCGATTTGATTTTTTATATTTGACGCCAATTTCTATTTTAGTCTCGGAAACTCTCCGCTCAGCGATGCCATGTCATCACCTTACTGGCTGTGGGACCCAGTTTTTCCACATTGTGCTGGTTATAGCCATTGGCGCTTCATCTACTCTTTAAGAAGTCTTGCTTTTAATGCTACTGAGTGTTTATCCATCATTCCTACCAGAAAGGCTTGGTGGGGGGACTGGTTTAATCGCCGATGACCGAACCATGCGGGAAGGGTCCAGGGTTAAATGGTAGCAGTAGCAACCGAAGAGTGACCTAGCATACATTTTCATCATACAAAAAGAATTTTTGCTCATTCGCGGTTTCAACGTGTTGTTAGTATTCACTTCAGGCGAGATACACCAACATTCTTTTCTTTTTTCTTTTTTAATTACATAATTGCCGTAAAAGTGGGTTACTTCCCTTTAAGTGTGTGCGCTCTCTCGCGTATGGTTCATTGTTTTTCTTGGAGATTTAGAAATGTTTTTCGGTTCACTCTTTTGACCAATTTCTTTTTCTTCTCGATTACTTGAACAAAAAAAAAAAAAAAAAAAAAAAAAAAAAAACAGTAAATATAAAAGCTACGCCAGAAAAAGGAAACCATTTCTCTGTTGAACAAGTTACGTTGTAGATATTTGAAACTTTACGAGCTTTGCGTTTTGTGAATGGAAAGCTGGACTTTTACAGTAAGATCAATTGAAGACTTATAAGGAAACAACAACCTCTTCACTGATTCTTTGCTTTAAGCTTGACTTAATTCGTGAATTTGAAAGGAGTACTCAACTTCATTACCCGACAACAGTTTTATGTCGAATACACTCGAACTTCTTCACCAGTCAAGCTGACAACTTGTGCGCATGCGTCGAATAAAGTGAGAAGGCATGTTTGCTGCACTCATCTGTTAACCGGAGATTGCTCACGAATGTCGTCGTGAACAGAACTGTTTTCATATCCTATTTCATATACGACAAACTGATTTCGGGCACAGCTTTGTCTCAATATTTCCGGTTTAAATATAGAGAAGATACATTACGGGATTTTATGTTGCTTGGATATAAATAAATCGCCATTTTGTTGCGGGTATCACCTCTTTGGTTGTGATGTGTATAGACATTTTATAGTAAATATTTATGGGCTCCAGGAACATTTATCCCGTAAACAATATTGGCGGACTCATTCGAGTCCCGGCAAAAATAAGTCACACAAAACAATGAATTTAAAACAATTTATTATATTAATAAAAGAATTCCATGTGTACACAATTGAAATAAAGGGAAAAGACATTGAAACTAGCTATGAGAATGTGCTTGTGCGTGATAGAAAAGTGTGTGTGTATGTGCATGAAAATGAACGTGCCCAAGTGGGGGGGTACACTTTCCCCACGTGCGACTATATCTGAAAGTATGAGTTAAAAAGAGGAAGAGAGATATGACTGTCTTTTTATAGGCTCTTTGGCGAAGCCAAGAGGGATAACCAACAGATGCCTTCCAGAAACAAAGCAGAGTATTTAGAAATAGGAAAATTTCATTAGCTGAACTTTAACATGTATCATTCTAAACGGCAGCGTCCGCTGAACAGTTTCTTTACAGATGAAGACGAGACTCAAAATAACGATGATGTTGTCCTACAGAAGGATGCTGAGAATGGGCTGAATATGTCAGCAACTAGGAAGTTTTAAGGCAAATGGAAACTAAAAGGATACTTTAAACCTGAAAGAGACAGTTAAATAGTGGGGAAAGAGGGATTGGAGACCCACATGACACAGTGAAAGAAACAAAGATGAATGGTAAGAATTCAAACGTTGTTAGCAGCTAAAGAGAACCGGAAAATGGTGAGAGCTTTGATCGTCTCCGTTTCAAAGGGACACATCACATAAAATAATTTTCGGCACAAGTGCAAGTTACGGCAAATAGGGAGGAAATTGTTATTCTACATCAGTCTTTTAAGTCAGGACGGCCAGGCGACCTTGACTATCAATATTGGGGGGGGGCTTTACCTAAACTCGATTTCCCTACCGAAGTAGAAGGTGACATGTGGACACATAAGCAGGGCCGATGCAAGGATTTTGTGTCCCCACGGATCTATGCACTCTGCACTCCATTATATTCTAGTTTTCATGAGGTACTATTCACATAAAATACAAATTTTATTCTAACCTAATTATATACAATAACTAGCAGTATGGCCCGGCGTTGCCCGTGCTTGATTCAAAAATCGTACGACTCATACAGCAATCGCTATCACTTGACTTAAAATATTTTTGCCCTTCCTTGCCTTTAAAGGAGTGCCCTTTGTCGTGCTGATGCTGCTACATGCCTTACTTCTTGCCTATCTCACACTGCGAATTTTTTCTAAGCTCTATACTAAACATTAAATCTGTTACGGAAAAAGAACACTAAACGATCAGCTTTAAAAAAGACTCGTAATTGGAAAAAACGAAGGAAAAAAGAATGTTAACAACAAATACTTTTTCACACCCAACCCAGTTCTGCGGAATCAGAATCAACGTTGAGTTTAAGCAAGCGAATGAGCCAATTGGAGTAAAGTGCCATGCAGATTTAAATTTTTTCCACTTGTGACGAATGCAGCTATCGATTTAATTTTTTTTTTTTTTTGCATGCTAGCATGCTAGTTAACTTTCGTGTCAGTCAGCTGTTGGCTCTCACGCTGGCCAATAGAATCTTCCTGCCTATTCGTGGCAGCCAGCTATAGGCTCTCACTCTGGCCAGTACAAAATGGCCGCAAACTACATGAAAACTGCCGTAGAAGCATGAAAAAATCGATTATTTCCACTATCGATGGGAGTTGGGAAATGCAAAGTCGATCTTGGTCATTCCGCTAACTTGGAGCATGTGCATGTACATTTTGGTGCAAATCCGTCGAAAATTGCGGCCGTGCATTCGTTACACACACACACACACACACACACACACACACATCCTGCCTTTTATAGATAGAGATAGATCATATGCAATATAAGTGAAAAAATATATAAAGCTAGACAGAAAATAAAATAATTGTTGATAAGATCTCGAGACAAATAGGCTTGCCACCTCCTCCCACCCACCACCGGTTTTGGGTTAGTACGCACCGGCCCTGTGCATACGTGTAGGTGCGAAGCAAGACAACAAATATATAGTCCCTTCGACTCGTGTCAAGGAAACACTAGAATACTACGTTCCTTTCGTTTCGATTATTGTTTCGCCAATCTCCGGTTTCTGGGATCGTTTCGTTTTTTGTGTGTGCTTGCACCCGAACCGAACACCAGAACATGGCACCGCTTCCTGCCTGTAGACGGGAATATAGCTGAGTTGAGGAACAGATATTTGAATCTTATTTTATTTAACTAGCTCCCACGATGTTATGATGTGACACAAGGTCGGTTTAATGTGAGGGCACATACGGACCAAGAACAAAATTTACCCAGTCTCACGACCATCTCTCACGTTAACGACTGTATTCACCACCCGTCGCTCTTTAATTCAATGAGGAAGACGTTACCACAGAATTGGAATCACCGATAATTAAATTTTTGAAGCCCATTTATACATTTTTGACAAGGATTTTTTTCGTTTTAATTTTAATTGCTTTTTGTTACATTAGTAGTATTAGTAGTATTATTATCTTGACTTTTATTCTTATTAGATGAAGCATTGTCAGCCATTATTCATTTTTGACTAGGATTTCTTTCATCTTAATTTCAATTGCTTTTTATTACATTAGTAGTATTAATAATAATATTATCTTGAATTTTATTCTCATTAGATGAAGCATTGTCAGCCATTATTCATTTTTGACTAGAATTTCTTTCATCTTAATTTCATTTGCTTTTTATTACATTAGTAGTATTAGTAGTAATATAATATCAAAATTCAAATTAGATGACTCGTTGTCAGCTATTATCAGTTTTGAACAATTCCTTTCATATTAATTTTGAATTCGCGGAACGGTTATTGTTGTGAAAAGTGGACTCGGAAATCTGAGTTCAAATTCCGGTCTTATTCATTTTTGTACTAAACCGTTTCGAAAAGACCGTCGTCCTTCTCTCCTCCTCTACGCTTGGGGGGTAGACCTTCTCATTTTCAATTTCAGCTAGTGAACGACTACTCTGTATCCAGAACCATGGAGAAAGTAACACGAAACTGCTCCACTACCTTTCCAAAGAAATCGAGGCAATTCGCAAATAATAAAGAAAAGGAATTTGTGGAGAGCCACCATCGCCTGTGTTCGAAAAGGACATGGTGTTTTTTTTTTTTTTTGTTTTTTAAGTGCAATTAGTGGTGAGGACATCAAATTTGCTGACATTTTTGGCAGAATGAGTAAACTAGTATTACTAATAATAAAGTAGAGAGTAATTGGCTTGTTTCTGGACAAGATACCCACTCATTGGTTCAGACTTAAAAAATTCATGTCTGTGCCAACATTTAACGCATTTTCTAGATCAACAATGATACTTATCGCTGTCGTTTTTAGCGAATGCCTTTGTCTATGAGGTGTGAGGGTATGCCTTTATTCAGCACCTACCTGAACTGCTGCTGCCGCTGTTGCTGAAGAAAAATTGCTTCACCTCTGCCAACATCCAACGTCAAAGCCTACATCTGATGACGTCAGATACGACCTTGGTAAATCGATTCGATTTTTTTACATATAGATGCAATAGCATCAGAAACTTTCAGGAATTAAATTCAGCAGAGAAAATCAAAAGAACGCTAAACTCAAATACTTACCGAGTTTAGCTTACTGCGTGTATGTATAGCTGGCTACTCATATTCGAGGATACCCTTCTACTAGGGAGGCTAGCTAATCCCTATTGCAGACGCTTGCTCAGGCGCATTTGTGCTTACTCAACACCCACAGAGCCTACCTGTGGTTTATACTGCAACTCTACTGAGCAGACCTTAGTTACAGTTTCTGGGAAAGAGCGGTTATATAGCGTGATCAACAATTTGAACAAAGCCAGCACGCTCAAGCCATCGGCCACGACGATTTGTGATTTTGTGCTAGAACAGCTATGGATGGCCTCCAAGGGTTCTGTCTACCCAATTTCACTCACAAAGCTTGGGTCAATGGTATGGTTTTCAGGCACTTTCCAAAGCCGCACGCTGGTATCGACCCCTCCAGTCTCCTTCCTGACAAATCGACCATGGTGAGATTCGAACCCAGGTTTCATGATCAGAATGCGAACGTTCTAATCAATCGGCCACGATTGGAAAATCTGCATTCAGAATCCTATCTCTTTATGTCTAGCGCTTTTAAACTCAGCCTCCACGCTGGGATCAAAGTGTAGTATCTGCCCTCGAGCAGATAATATACATTTTATCTCTCAATTGTGTCTCCGTCTTCGGGCAGAGCGCAATTTAAGCGTGCTACTAGATTGGCATTTAGGTCCCCACCTTCTACTGTTGAAAGAGCGAAATGCAACCGCAACTTCTACTCCAACAGTTTCTTTTCTCGCACTTCCCGCCTGTAGAGCTCCCTTTCGTTTCCTTGTTTCGCTGACAACTACAGTCTTCTAAAAAATTAAATACAACGTCAATCGCCATCTTCTATCTTCTTAAATCCCGTTCATTTTTTGTCCTTTCCCCAATTCTCCTTATACTCAGTCCTTTTTTTTCTTTCACTTCCTGTACCCCCCATGCGCACTAGTGGCATTTCCCGCCATGCTTGAGGCGAAATGATTAACACACACACACACACACACACACACACACACACACACACACACACACACACACACACAATTTGCGTATCTTAGTGTTAAGATTGCAACATCCGATAATAGATTCGGTTTTAAATTCCAATCATCTGAAGAAGACCGGTGCGTACAACGGCCGAAATGTGAATATAGCAGTGAAGATGCGGATAACAGTCCGAATAATATAAATAATGTAAGTAAATATAAATCTATTAAAAAATAAATATACTCGTAAGATCAAAACAATTCTATGGGAAATATTAGGTTGGTGCGAAAATAATGACGTAATAATGTCGTTTTTTGATGTTAAAAAATACGTAAAAAAACGACATTATTACGTCATTATTTTTGCACCAACCTAATAGTTGCTTTAACCATTGCTCGATTCAACGACGCTCAAAATATTACTGTTCTTTAAAAAAAACGAAAAAAAAACATTAAACATTATGTATTTTCATAATGGATCGCCTCAGTCAAGATGTCGGACAGTGACAAAAATTCGTATTTACACCTCCAGACTGAATTGCTTCCATTTGCAAGTATGGTGGCTCATAATAAAAATGAATATTTTATTTTTTTGTAGACTAATTAATATTTTTTTATCATCAAGTTTTTTTTTTCTTAAACAGAAAAATCATTAATTTAAAAAATTTAATTCTGGAACACTTACTGTTACATGAAATATTGGACTGATGTGGGTAATATCGATGATCTAGATACAATGGCAACAAAATGGACATACTTAATATCAGGAGGAGACAGCTGGTATTTCTAGGGCTCATAATGAGGAAAGTGGGCTTGGAAAATCAGATACTCACAGGGCAGATTGAAAGTAAGAAAGAGGAAAGAAATCTGGAGAACATGAGTGAGTGAATAACGTAGTAGGGTTTGCGAGAGATGGCAAAAGGACAAGATTAATGAAATGTCTCAAAGGACAGGAAAATGTGGAGACCCATGATTGTCAACATCCTGAAGGGACACAGCATATAAAAAAAGAAGAAGATGACCATATCACGTTGAACGCGTATTGGGATAGAGAAATATACAAAAATTCTTTAAAAAAAGTATTAATAAACAAATGAAGAAAAGACTTCGAAATTCTGTTTAAACAAATGAAAAAATCTCCTCACAGATGAAGAAAAAGACTTGAACTGTTTACGTAATATCAGTCCTCCATATGCCAGTGAATGCTGGACAATCCTAGATGAAGAGACTTGAAGCAACAGAAACAAAAAAAGAGTACTATGGCAGTGAATGCTGGACAATTTCTCCTCAACAGAAACAAAGAAGAGAGGGCTGAACTGCAACAGAAACAAATTTCCTCACAGATGAAGAAGAGACTTGAAGCAAGAGAAACAAAGAAAAGAGGGCTGAACTGTTACGTAATATCAGTCCTTTATATATGGCAGTGAATGCTGGACAATTTCCTCACAGATGAAGAAAAGACTTGAAGCAACAGAAACAAAGAAAAGAGTCCTCCTACTGAACTGATTATGTAATGTCAGTCCTCCTATATGGCAGTGAATGCTGGACAATTTCCTCACAGATGAAGAAGAGACTTGAAGCAACAGAAACAAAGAAAAGAGGGCTGAACTGTTACGTAATATCAGTCCTCCTATATGGCAGTGAATGCTGGACAATTTCCTCACAGATGAAGAAGAGACTTGAAGCAACAGAAACAAAGAAAAGAGGGCTGAACTGTTACGTAATATCAGTCCTCCTATATGGCAGTGAATGCTGGACAATTTCCTCACAGATGAAGAAGAGACTTAAAGCAACAGAAACAAAGAAAAGAGTACTGAACTGTTATGTAATGTCAGTCCTCTTATATGGCAGTGAATGCTGGAAAATCTCCTCACAGATGGAGAAGAGACTTCGAGCAATAGAAACAAAGAGTAATGAATGATGACAAGCTTGAATGAATGGATCACTGAACTCGGTCTGCAAGAAATTGTTTTTACAAGGTTTGCAAAAAGAGCTACTAAAAACAGGAAATTGTGGAGACATGATTTTTCTGTTTTAATTTTTTGGTGAATTTTAATTCTTAAGTTAATGATTAAATATCCGTAGACATTTCCCTATCGCATTGTTAGTATTTGAGCTTTACAACCTTAACAAAAGATTGCAATAACAATCATAAATATGACTGCTGGTCGTTATTTTAAGACGTAAAGGGGTACAAATAAAAATTTGAAAATGATATTTTTTCCATTTCGCTGAAACAGGCGTTAAACACTTCTATTTTCCTTTCTTTTTTTTCTAACTGAAACCACGTAGCGTCCCTGGTATGTCTTTTTCCGTCTTTCCACTCGATCAAAACGGAATAGTCCATTATTAATGAGGTATTGCCAAAAGGCGTTAAACACGTTTATCTTCCCCTCTTTCTGTCTTTCTTTCTTTCTCACTGAAACCAAGTAGAGTTTCAGATATGGTTGTTCCGTCTTTACATGCGATAAAAACGGAATAGTCCATTATTTATTATTGGCAAGGCGTAATGGTCGTGCGAAAAAAAGAGTGAGGCAAACAGAATTATAATATTATTTGGCGTCCTTTCCGACTCTTAGATGTTTTGACCGGGTGATGATGGTCATATCTCAGTTCTTATCCGTAGATTAACGATACAACACTTCCCTTAGCACATGAGCTGTTCCAATGCGCATTCTCAACGATAACAGACTCCCCCACCCACCCACGGCCTCTTGAGAAGTTCAGAAATGGTATCATGACATTTACCACTGAGCAATTAAAAAAAAAGCACATATTTTACATAGATAAAGCCCTTCGTAAGGTGTGAGCTGTACTTGTTATTATTATTATTATTATTTCCATGGTTTCTTTCCGGGTCCCAACCAGAGACCTAAGGTCAAAAATGGCATCATAACTTAGCTAGTGTGCGCATGCTCAAACGGTCCGTTTATATCTTGCTTTGCTTTTTCTTTAGTTTAACAGATGTCATTTCTTTAATAGCGGGGCGTTTTCCGGGGTTTGGGGTATGAATTTCATAATTGCCGTTGTGTTTGGACGAGTAATTGTGTGAATGTTTGAGTCAATTATAAATTAGTTTCGCATCATTTTCGTCTAGTTAGCTTCTATTTCTGCCACAATTAGGATCGCGCTACGGGGGTTGTTTTTTTATTTATTTATTACAAACACTGTTTTTCTCTTTGGTGTTGTAAATACATGGCTTACAGCGATATCACGTTGAAACAACGATTCCCGTACGATAATCAACGTTAAGCAACGTCGAGTTTGGTCAATACCCAGATGAATGAGCGCTCGGGAATACCAGGTGCTATAAGCTTGGATATGCGGATGATGTAATTGTTAATCGGAGAGCCGAGTTCGAATTCCAGTCGCGTTTGTTATATTCACATATCCACAAATACCCTTAGAAAATGTATGAATCCAGTCCTTCTTTCCTCCAGCTATGGGTTAATTAAAAAGACTTGTATTTTTAAATCATTATTATCTCCCAAAAAACGAAAACTAAAGGCAATTCTGGAACTAGGTGTCTGTTATTATTTTAACTAACTTCACACCTCGACTATTTTCTAAAAAGCGATAGTTGAAACTGTAATAACAACTATTTAAACTATTTATTTATTAGATTGTTTATTGGAATGGTCGGCAAATCAATTCGAACTTTATAAAATGGTAAATAATAAGGATTTCTTTATAGTCAGTTCACATCTTTTAATGTTAGTAGATGTTTATAAATTTATGAATAAAAAACTATTTTCATATTTATTTCTTTATAAATTGGTAAATGATAAATATTGTATTACATTAGCACTAATTGTATTAATTTTTTAGAATGTTGTAAATATAAAATTATTCATGTTTTTTTACGCGATGTCATGTGAAAAACCGTCCTTTTACGTTTT